CGGACAGATGCTCAGGATCCCCATCGAGGACGTCGAAGCCGAGGGCCAAATCTCCATTGCCCAACAGCCCATCGCGAGCCCAACCCTCTCTTCACGATACGTCCGCGACTCATCACCCTCGCCAAGCATGGAGAGCGTCGACGACACCGACGAGTAATAAACTCATACACCAAGGCGACGCACGAAAGACGAAGAAATGACGGCAAGCCTTGCACTGGTCTGCAGTCCAGCAAGGCGGAACTAGCTAGCAGCGGACGTCGTTGCCAAGCAGCCTAGTCGCAGCCTCGAATCCCGCACGAGTCAAACTCAGCGTGGACTGACATCATCGCTACCCCATACCCTCACTGTAATCGCAAACTTTCTTCCGAAATGACGACAGTCGGTGCCGTTGGTGCCGAGATGCCACCGGAGAAAACTTTCACATTGCGTGGAGTTGGGCGTGTGGGGAACACGGCAAGCAAGGAGAGGATCTTTGGCTTGGCTGGAGTTGGAAGGAAGCTTGGGGATGTGCCGATCGGAGGTGGATAGGGCAGGCAGGCACGCGTTGGCTTGGCGTGGGGATTGGGATGGATCGATCGGTAGTCTAGGTTACTTAATGTCTATTAACTAATTTTTTTGTGGTACTTTTGGTCACTTGACCTTTTCTATGCTGCATGAGGATGTGAATTGTGAATTGCGGTGTGCGTGCGTGTGCTCTGCATGCATTGACTTTGGGGTAGTAAAAGCAAGTAGAAGTGATACTCTCTTTCTTGCATATCTCTTATTTCCGGTGTGCATGTGAGACGTGTCCTGTATTATGTGCATCACGATGACGGGGAAGAGTAGTAGTGGTGCCGAGCCAACAGATGACAATACGTTGACAGCATTCAAGGACACCTTTCCTGCACCATTGTAGACATAGACTTAATTTGCTCTGGAGATGTTCACAAAACTTGCAATCAACGTAGATGGAAAACAGGTAGTGCACTCATCCAGAACGAGCTTTTGGCTGAGCTAATACAACTTGGAAGAGCAAGTGCTTCCTTTTACACGGCCACCGGCGCGTCCATGCATAGTCATATGACAGATCATCTCCCCGTGTTCGTCTCCACTCCTACGTCAACCAAGAAAAAAACTGAACAGGCCTGCAGCCTACATCAACATGAAAACTTACAAAATAGGGGACCTGGCGTCGATGTAGGCTCTAGACCTGTCCAGTTTTTTTCTGGTATGAGGTGCTCCCCATGTCATCCTTCGTGAGTGACGTGTTCATCAGTCGTAAGCTCAATCCAAAACTCCAGATCATCCGTTGCCGTGGACCTTGCTGGCATCGTCACTTTACCTGCCCACGCACCTTCCTTTTCTATCCAGAGGCTCTTCATCTTCAGATACACACGTAACACTTCACGCTGAATCGCTTGTTGTATCTTTCCCATATCCGCGGATGTGATCGCGGTATTATCGCAAGGTCGGCGAATGTACTGATTCATATCCAAGTCTGCCCGAGGTGCGTCTCCCCAATCGCCCTTTTCCAGGTCTGGAAAAGCCAGGTCGCGTATGGATACCTTGAAGTATATGGTTAGTCGTGTGAGATACTGATGGTACCGTGGCGCGGGAAAGAAGATACCGCTTTGCATGGCTAGTGGATCGCGGAAGAACCTGGGCGATATGGGAGACGCTATGTGAGGTAATTGGATGTTCGCTGTCGATGCTGACTGTGCTAGTACGCTTTTACGAATGTAGCACTGGAACGAATTCTTTGCGTATAAGAAGCTAGCAGCTTCATCGTGAAGTTGCGTGCATGTTCTCAGTAGTGAAATGCCCGTAATTTTCGTATGTATCATAGGAGATAGTACGATGCAGTCTTCGGGTTTGAGTAGATGGGCGTAAATGCAGTTGCGCAACTCGGGTGGTATGCTAAGCAAGCTGTGTTTCTGAAGATCGACAGGGACACTCTTCGAGACAGTGCGCGATCGTCGTGCCGACTCCGTACGATGGTCTTTGTTCGAGCAACGGTGCGTCCTTTTACTGATCTGCCCGGTCAGCTGTAATGGTGTCGGCTGCGCGACTGCAGTTGGGCGTACAAGACCGAGTGCTAATGAAGGTTTGTTTCCCATCGCCGTAAATCTGTAGATCAAACTTGTTATGGACACCGAATAGGAGACTCGCACCTCATACAAGGGAAAAACTAAACAGGCCTAGAGCCTACATCAACATTAGGTCACCTGCTTTGCGTGTTTATATGTTAATGTAGGCTGTAACAACAAAAGTGTAGGGTGTAGATTTGTTCAGTTTTTCCCTAGGTTGACGTGCTCGCGTGGATCGTCTCTTCTCTCGCACTTGGAAAGGGCATATGGGTGTCGCCTTCCCGGGGACCCCCTACGTATGCGCTGGAGGCAGTCATCAGGGAAGCATTCCAAGTTGATACATTGGATACATTGTTGATAGCCAAAGGGAATTATATTAGCTAACTGGAATCCTTCCAGTTCCCTAAGGATGTGAAGCATTCGCTTCTCAGTCTTGTCCGTTGCGACGATGAATTCGCTGTGTGAGCTGTACTTGCGACGCTCGACAAACAAGTCGCGAGGTCACATCCTATAGCTTTGCATTGATTATCGAGGGCTTTCCTTGTTCGATCGGATGTTCAGTGGAAGTAGACGACATACAAGCCATCAGCATCAACATAATGAAGGGCGTGAGGATGTGAAGGGCTGGAGGAGCTGCTGGCTGGTTGAGCGGCTCAGACAACGCACGGACGGCTCACCAAAACACGGGCTCGTCATTGTGAACGAACTTCAATCCGTCAACTCCCTGATGTCACGACCTACAGCACTGGCAGAGCACTTGCTATACAACGGTCCTATCATGAGCATTTTCGTTACAGATTCTACCCCCTCGGGCGCCGAGACCTGCCCAAGGGATGCGCCGCGAGCGCAGGACTAATTAGGTGACGACGAATGGCCGTTGCGTAATTGCCTCCCTAGATCAACTGTCGTCTACATGCGTTTCATCGCACACCAAGACGATATCTCGCTGTCATTCGTGTCATCATCAAAGATGGATGCATCCCCTTGACACGCAAACGGAACGAAGCGGAAATCGGGATGTGGGCTACGTAGCGTTCACACCACCCGACGTGGAGACCAGGTCGCTCGGGACAATACGACCCATGCGGATAGTGACTGACCATGTAGTCGCAGCTCGGGTCATCTTCTCTAGAAGACCTAAGGCACTTTCATGCATCCACAAGATGGCGCCAAGTCTGGGGTCAAGTCCGGGGTGGAACCTGGGGTAAACACCTCGTCAATTGTAAAGTCATCAACGGCTCTATGTCTTGAACGGGCTTGAGACTTGCTAGCCCTGATCATACTACCATCTTGGCTCTTAACCCTAGGTAGCTAGGTTGACCGGCTCCACATTTCACGCTCGACTTTCAACGTCGCCATGACCCGAGGTCGTGGTGCATATTGTGCTGGACAGAGAGGCCAACAATGGGTGTACCGATGAGCTATAAAGACCAGCAACAACATGCTTGAGAAGGTCCAACCTCAGCCAGGAACGCAGACACCACAACATCAACCATGATCGCCTTCAACACCATCGTCGCATTGCTCCTCTCCATCTCATCTGTTACCACTGCCAGTCCAACAGAGCGCCAGGCATCCACCTACCTCAACTGGAAGACCTTCAAAGCCAATGGCATCAATCTTGGTGGATGGCTTGCCCAAGAAGCCGTCATTGACCCAGCCTGGTGGTCGCAGAATTGCGGTACCACGACTGATGAGTGGACCTGCTGCGCCAAACTGGGATCGCAATGCGGTCCTGTTCTGGAACGTCGCTATGCTACGTTCATCACACCCGCCGATATCGACAAGCTAGCCACTGCCGGTGTGAATGTCTTGAGGATTCCCACAACCTACGCTGCATGGGTCAAGGTTCCTGGCAGTAACTTCTACACCGGCGGACAAACTCGGTTCTTCAAGAACATTGCATCCTACGCAATCGCAAAGTACGGCATGCACATCATCCTCGACATTCACTCCCTTCCAGGTGGAGTGAATGGTATGGGCTTTGGTGAAGGCGAAGGCCGCTTCGGTTGGTTCAATAACGCCACGAACCTCGACTATTCCCTACGCGCTGTTGATGCTGCACTGGCCTTTATTCAATCCTCTGGAACTCCGCAATCATACACCCTGGAGCCTATCAACGAACCGGTGGACAACCGCGACATCACAACCTTCGGCACACCAGCCGCGTTGACAGACAACGGTGTCGCATGGGTACAGAAGTACATTGATGCGGCTATTGCGAAAACAGTAGCCGTGAATAAAAAAATACCCGTAATGTTCCAAGGCAGCTTCAGAGGCGAAGCGTTCTGGTCTCCCAAGTTCCCAGCGTCCACCAATCTCGTCTTCGACGTACACAACTACTATTTCGCTGGCCGCCCAACAGACTCTGATACCGTGAGCGCAGATATCTGCTCGGATGCCAAGGCATCGGCAGGAGATGGCAAGTTTCCTGTATTCATCGGTGAATGGTCAATCGAGACGGTGGCGGACAACAAATTTGCAAACCGTCAGAAGAATCTGAACACCGGGCTGTACGCCTTTGCAAAGTACACTAGGGGTAGCGCTTACTGGACTGCGAAATTCTCTGGGAATGTGCCGGTAGCTGGCGAGGGAGTACAAGGAGACTACTGGAATTACTCGGCTTTTATCGATATGGGTATCGTTAAGCCTGGCGAAGGCGCAAAGTATTGCTCCTAAAGGGTTACATATGTGGATCAGCCCAAAACATGACCTCATGTAGGAAGGGAGTCGTGTGGACGTAGTGACGTTCGATAGCCGGGTATATGAATGTATACATTATCGCATTTTTGCCTCCGATTTCATAACTACTAGCAACCTAAATATATCAACATTGATGGCGTAGAATCCAACAGCGCCGCAAAAGTGACAGAAGGCCTTCCATCATGAGCTCATCGTTCCATCGAGCCTCAATACCCTCCCCCTGTCCAAGCATTAGCACACCTGTTCACCACCAACACACGAACAGGCCATGATACACTCACAAATCATCACATCAACCAATCTAGGTTTAATCTCCTCGACATCCTGATCAAGCAACACCTCCCAAAGCTCCATCACACTCTCCGCCGTCATCATGAACCAGCCAAAGTAACGGTCCCCGAGGCCCTGACCTCTTCTCCTTGGATGATGATCCGCAGCAACGTAATCTACCTCGACACACTTGAGCCCTCGTCGCTTGGTACTGGAGGATTTGCTGTAGCCGTGGTATTGATATTGCCATTTCTGCACACTCTGGGAAGTTGCGACGTAGCTTGCAGTATTGTCAACGGGTACTTCCGGTGTCTCATTCTCTTTCGGCAGAAAGTAAGGATCCATCAAAACGTCCGCGTCAGCGACAAGGAAGACACGCTCGCTCCTGTAGAAGTTCGGTGGGAGCACTGAATCTTCTGGTGGAGTGAGATAGGTCTGGCGAAGCTGTTCTACAGTAAGACCATCGTACAGGGAAGCATCGGAGCGGAAGTCTAGACGTAAGAGGGAGCGTAAGAGTTGGGATGTTGTCGGTGGCTCATGGTCTTGCGACCCAGGGAAGGATTCTTCGACCCCTTGCTGAATGGCTTCGATTAGAGATTCCCATTGCGATTGAGATTCTGGCGTGTAGCATGTGCGGTAGATGGTGTAGCCCCATTCGTGATAGGAATACGGCTCCTCGGCTTGGCCGTCCGTTGTTATGATCAGGTCTCGTAGTATGTCTTTGGGTTGCTGGATCATTGCGTTTGAATACGAGATAATATTGGTACGGAGGGTACGGGATTAGATATGTGATGCTTATGTTGGAAGAAATAGTCAGTTGGTAAACTGACGGCACGCGCAGATTTTATACTTGCTCGGGTATATTCGAAGGATCGTTTAGGTTTAAGGCAACAACTGCGCTAGCTTCTTACGAGCTGGTTAGATGAGACTGTTTTGTTGCTGGATTTTGCTCTTGGAATAGGTCTTGTACATTGAATATCCACATATACATGAGACAGAACAAATGGAGAAGCCTTCGTAGATGCGAAGGCTTGTAAAGTATCGTCCTACGTGTTGCACTCCTCCATAGTTTCGATCAAGACCTCCGAGTCATTAACAACCACCGCGACGACGTTGTCCTACCGCCCGCGAGCATTAACCTGCCCAGCTATTCATTATGCCTACATTATGCACGTAAGTAGAGGCTGTCATGCATATCGTGGCAAATACCCACCTGCAAAATCACCCTTTTTCCTCAAAGCCTCCCTCACCTCATTCTCTCTGCGTATCCGCTCTTCCTTCTCCCTATTCTCCTTGCGTAATCGCTCTTCCTTCTCCTCTTTCTCCCTCTGCTTCCTCGCCTTCTTCTCAGCCTTCTTCTCTTCCTTGGCCACCTTTGCTTCCTTCTCCTTCATCATCTTCTGGAACCCATCATACCAACTAGCATTGCCGCTATCTTGTCTTTGCATGCTGTCTTTACCCAGCACACGATCAGTCTTGTCTCGCTGCCTTTTACGGCCGCGGTCCCACAATTGCCACATGTAGGGATCGTTTTCTAGTCCTGGTGGTGGTGTAAGCTGGCGCGGCTGTAGATTCTTTCGGGGTCGGTTCGTGCGCTGGAAGTAGGCTTCTGGGGTTATCTCACGGCCAGGGAAGATGAGACTGGAGGTAGTAGAAAAGGCGGGTGATATGTTACGTGGTTCAGGTTGAAGGAAAGTGGAGGAATACTCTTGCAGGTGGATATTCGGAACAGATTGCGTGGGGGTGGTGCGTTGATAAGGGTTAAAGGAGCTCTCTGATCGAGCGGTGGTTTGTTGCTCATCTGGTGCGGTTGCATCTGCACTGGCCCCTTCATTCGCGCTTCGCTTTCCTTTCACCCAAGACAGGGGCCTGACAAACCCCAGTGGCAGATACTTTCCCAACGAGGGTTCTGAGTCACGACGGGTAACTTTCTTCTTGAGCTTCCGAGTCTCCTTCGAGTCTCGTGATGGAAGCACAGCGCTTGGTGCGATGGATTGAGATCGAGAGTTCTTTTGCGACCGGGCTTTGAGAGAAATCGGTGGACACCAGTAACCAGACATACCCATAAGTCCGACTGGGGCTTCTGAAGAAGGAGAGGTTGTAGAAGACATAGAAGATGATGAGGTTGAATGACCTGCAGGCTGATGCGCAGCGCGTTGGGTAGAGTGATGTGGTACAAATGTATGCCAGTCGGGTTCGTGTTCTTCAATAAAACGAGATGCGTTGTAAGTATATATGTTCGTACTGGGGCTGCCAGCAGGCCCTTCGTAAACGTCGATGACTGAGTCCTCATAGTCTTCCAAACTCGGAGTGTGCGACAGGTAGGACTGTCTATCGGTGGCTTGCACTACCTGTCTGGGTTCATCAGTTGCATATTTTGGTCTTCCTGATATTTCTATATCAGAGGATCGCTTACGTTAGAGCTGTTCGCCTCCAATCCAGCCTCCTCATCGGCCCAGCGCACCCAAGCTCTCTGCTCTGTCATCCGCGACATTATGCTTGCTGCATCGTTAACTTTCTCCTTCTCCTTGATATCGCAGAGTTCTTGTTCCGACCTGCTGGTCATCTCCCTCTGCCACATTTCCTCAAGAGTCAACCTGGGACTGTCCCCAACCATATCCCCATGTATCATCTGCGTCCTGCGTCGTATCGCTTTTAACGCCTTTCCGATCTCTTTCGTGGCATTTAGATAAACCGCATCATCGTGGAAATGCACGGAGACTTCCCAGCCCAGTTCCTTAAGGTCCTTGAGTATACGTATTTCGGAGGGGATGGGGTCGTCAAGCACGTAGGTGAACAGCGGGTCGCAAGCTTCGATGGACTGCGCGGGTGGTTGGACTAGATATGGCATTTTTTGCAAGCGTCGTGTGGTGGTGAGAAATTAGCAGATGTTATGAGGCTTTGTACGCTGTCGCGTGCATTCATCTTCGAGGTAACTGGCTACTGATGTCAATATTTTCCCATACTTCACGCTCAGTATTTTCACACTCTAGATATGTCATTGCCAAAGAGTCTGACCCTTGAATGTGCAACAGGTCGAAGACATGTTGCCATTGAATATGTCTATTGGGTATCATATGTTGTTATCGTCGGCGCAGCACCATTCCACGGGACGTCGTTATCGTTGGCCGTTCCCTCGTTCTTCAGTCCTCTTGTGCGATAGAGCCAGCTTCCAGACGCTCTGAGGCGAGATTTTGAGGTACCATATCCTGTAACGTGCGGTTCGCAGTCTCAGGACGTGACGCGCCGGCTACGGCGTAGGCGCGAAGGCTGTAGAGTCACAGATTCGCTTTCTACATAATTCCTATCACGGATGTGAGCATTCATCAAACGCGTGTATGTCCGGCGTGTGCGTCGCGATGAAGTTTGTGTATTTGGTGTAGGGTGAGGAGTTGATGCTCAGGGAGGGCTCAAAACCATATCTTGATCAGCTCCTCTGACACGGCAGACGGAGTGAGAACACCAGATTCGGTGATGATGCCGGAGATCAGGTCGGGTGGCTAGTTCAGGTTAGCGGATGGAGTCATAATTGAAGTAAGCAGAGCGTACCGTAAAGTCGACAGCGTCATGAGCGTCGAGCGGAACCACGGTCGATCTCTGCTTCGCAGTCATGTCTGCGATGGCTTCGTCAAAGACATTCCGTTGCTCTTCGTCGCTCTTGGGCTTGTGTTCCGCCTTGTGTTCTTCTGCGACCTTGAAGTCGAGTACCTTCTGCTCAATGGGCAGATCGAACTGGCTGAGTGGATATAGCCTAACGAACTTGTGGCTCTCGGCGACCACGTAGAAGGGCTTTCCTTTGCTCTTAGCCAGTACGCCCAACTGGTACGTGCCCATGCGCGATATGATGCCACCGTTCTCGACGACGCCTTCAGCTCCGACAATGACCATGTCGACTTTACCCAGTGAGTAGGCGACGGCCGAATCTGGAATTGTGGCGACTGGTACATTGTGCTCTCGGAGGTCGGCGACAGTCTGGAGGCCCTCTTTCGCATCTGACGAGCTTGACGAGGGCAAGACGTATATGACCTTGAACCGGAGAGTGCTCGACTCGGCGGCCGTTCGCAGTAGCGCACCCACTACTCGCGATCCTCCATTTGTGAGCACCGTGCCGCCGTCGCGGATGAAGTGCTTGCCGAAACTCGCGATCTTCTCCCTGCTCTGTTTCGCACGGTCCACAAACAGCTTGCCGTTGGAGAGGAGGTGGTTGCGTATCGCGCGGAAGTCGTCGTCGGGGCCGAGGTTCAGGCTCGCCGGGCGGTTGAGGGTGGTGATGAGGTAGCGCTGGAAGAGATCTGTGCCAGCGGAGAGGGAGATTGGATTCGCGATAGAGGCCTTGAGGGCGGCGGTATGGCGTTCGAGCAGGTCGAGCGTCTCTGCGACGGTCGAGACGGAGCTCTGCGCGATGGCTTCTACGAGCGCCTCGATGGCCGCGACGGGCATGGTGAGTTCCGGGTCATCTTTGAGGATGCGGCGGTATGTCGCTACAATGTCGAACGTTGACTGTGTCTTGACTCCTGATTCGGCGCTCATCTTGGCGGTGGGTTGCAGCGTGTCGTTCCCGTCAACTTTTTGGCCTGCAACATTTTGGAGGGGTGCTTCGCGATTGAGTCATTCGCCAAGATTGGGGGGCTAGCCCGTCATCCCTCCCCAGGCGTTCACCCTTCGACGCGCCAGACCACTCTTTGCCATGACTTTACACTGCTGCATGAGCCTAACTGTATTCATCTCACTCTTTGCTGCGGTAGAACTCAGGAACTGCCAGGCGACTGCCTTCACCCACTTCAACACCATGGCAAGGATCCATCCGCAATCGCCTTCACTGCTTTCATATGACGCGGTTTGTGTAATGCTCCGTTTGCTGCGGAGTCTGCAATCATCAGATGCCACTCACCCGTAACGATGACCATGGCCCGCTATGTTACGATACGTTGACCAAACTCACCCTCCGCTGTGACTGTACATCACTTGAAGAGCTAGACTCACTCAAACCCAACAGGTCGTTTCCAATCTTCGGTGTTCTCACTGATAGTACTTTCACTTTAGCAAACAATTGATTACATTCGTCCACGATTATCTTTTAGCAATCAAAAGTCCGCAAGGTATCCCACTGCCAAAGCTACACCTACTAACTACAACAACCAACACTGCTCCTAGGGAAGTTACGATGCCGTACATCATCTATGTGCCCGGAGTCTTGCAACCCTACATCACCAACGATCCGAGAATCTACATGGACTGTAGCAAGATCTTCGAGTGGGAGTGCGAATCACGACCCTTCTGCGATGCATTCTGCAAGGCGTTCCGGCAAGACGAGGATGAGCAGTTCCTGTCAGACAGGCGTCGCGGTCAACTTGAAGCCTACTGGATCGAGGAGCTCGAGCGGCGGACCAAGCCAAAGGAAGGACTTGACCCGCCGAAGGAGGGCAAACGACTGTCAAGTGAAACCGCAGTCGAACATTTGGCGGAGCATGACATTAATAAGAGTGTGTTATCCAAGATCAAAGACCGGGAGGAAGGTGCACTCTGATAGTTCGCGAGTCTACGTGGTAGTCACAGCCCTCATCACTAAACCCCTTCTATGGTACGTTCCCACCTTCTCGTTTTTGGGTGTTGCTAAATTGAGTAGTAAATAATAAACATCAAGCCTTTTGAGCTTTTAACACAACACGCTTGACGACCACATTATACTGCTTTTACATTCTCTAGTCTCAACGGAGGCGGCATCCATTTACAGTTCCCTTCTTATCACAAAACATAACAGCGTACTGTTGCGCCAATCCGAAAATGCCCTCACTTTGCGACCCATCGGAGTATCTGCCCAGTCAGCAGATACCACCAAGACCGTCTATCAACTTCATCTCCTACGACCCTGCTTCCATTGAAATACCTATGGAGGCCTTCTACCGCGAGCACCGGGTAGATTCACCGGGAAGGATAGTGAAGTATCGCTATGCTACTACGCCATCCGCCGTGGCGTGCAAAATCACAGTCGTTTCCCTTTCTACTATCATAAACTGGCGGACGGGTATCTCCGAACTGGCACCCCCAGGTGCTCTCTTCAACAAAACAGATGGTCTGTACTATCAAGACGAGGTCGTTCAAACACCAGGCCAAACGCCACCCGACGACAAGCCAACGTTCGAGTCATTTGTTCGACGAGTGAATTCACATGCTCCTACTACCGTACGGAATTCACCCATGGCTCATGACGAAGTTCAGTCCGCCGACAAGCCAACGTTCGAGTCATGTGTTCGACGACTAAAGTTACATTTTTCCACTGCCGTACAGCATCCAGCGATGTCTCATGACGAAACTCAGCCCGCCCCCGGCTTCGTAGCAAACCATGTCCAACGCACTGCGGAAGGTCCCTTGTCCGACGAGCAGCTCCACACGAACCCTTCGGGCAAGGAAGAAGGCTACAAAGCCGCCGAAAAAGGTCCCCCAAGATATGCGTCGCAGTCGGCAGGAAGATCTCTCAACGAGGAAGTTATTGGACACAACTGGGTTAAGTCCGGGCCAGGAAACAGGCGCGCGCATGGATCAACGACTACACCACCCGGTTTACGACGTGGCAGGAGTGCAGTCGGTGAAGGATCTCGCGAATGACCGGCCCACGAAGCAACGTACGGGACATACAATGAGAATCATGCTTGTGGGTCATCGGAAGAAAGAAGTCCCATCGAGATGAAGCTGGGCGAGCAAGATGTCAATGGAGTGTGTTGTGATCAACGCCTAGACATGTCTCGCACAAATGAATTCAAATTTCTACACACTGCATTTCCATTTCGGATGGTTACCCAGCCCTTTTTTATGTAGACTAGCCATGCAATCGATGCGGCGATTGTTCACTACGTGCATTAAGCGTCCAATTCGTCTCTCAAACAGACGCTCAGCTAGATAGAACAGCAACCACTTGGCGTGGCTGCAGACAGACCAACAGACAAAAAAGGCCGGTGCAAAGATTAGCGAATCGTCGCGATATCTGATGCGGCTGTGTGTCTGGCGATGACGCACCTTACACGGCACTCGCGGGTCTGCCCGTGGATCCACAGCGCTCAACGTCATATGCATGCGCCAATGGAGCAGGAGTTTTCAGCCGACCCTGAGCCTGTCCGCAGCCGAGCACGCGACCTCTTACCTAAACGAGCGTCACCGAAACAGGACGCGAAGCCTGCACCATAGAGTCTTTTCCACTATAACCATATACGCAGTCGTCCATAGAAGAACCGCCTTGTCTACACATTTCCCACCAACGGCTTTAACCGCAACTTGAGTGTCGCTCCCGTCTCCACTCAACCCATCATCGACAACATGGCCATACTATCAGACATCGCCTCGAAAGTAAAAAACACGCGACTCGTTCCGCCAACCGAAGACGAACTATCCGCGGCCAAAGAAACCAATCAAAATTCAGCTCCCTCTCATACCCAAAAAGGACAACGACCAATCCTCGAGATAACATCCTACGACCGCTTCACTCCACCATCCCCAAAACCAGACTTAGAATACGACTGCCGCGTAACCGAGAACCCGTCTCGCCAAATACGAAAGACATGCACAGGGCTCGACTCGACGCTACAAGACGAACTCATGCAGCGCGAGTCTTTCAGTGATACAGTGGCCCGCGCCAAAGACGATATAAAACGGCTCATGGAAATCAAGGATGTGAGGGCTAGTAGGGAAGACGAAGTGGCGATAGTACGAGTGGGGTGTCTATGTGGGAGTGGACATCACAGAAGCGTGGCGTTTGCGGAGCAATTGGGGAAAGTGAAGTGGAGCGAGGATGATAGCTGGGAGATTAGGGTTGTGCATAGGGATTTGACGAAGGGGGTAGAGGAGATGAAGAGGATGAGGGGGGAAGAGAGCGAGAAGAGGGTGAGAGATAGGAGCGTGGAGGGGGGGAAAACTGGGGTGTGAGGTGTTTAGATGAGGATGGATGTAAGGAGTATTGTAGTATAATATTATTACGGCGTTGCCTATCGTCCAGCGTTATTGGGCAAACCTCAGCCTCGAGATAACCAAGCATGCCTCGGAAGCACCACCGCAGTCAACGCCTCAGTCTCTCCACCCGGAGTCGCTTTCAAATCAGCACCGTCAGCACCACCGCCTCTTAGCTCTCCCTCCGGACGCTCCTCGTCCTCGTCTTCATCATCCTCTCCTATGACCTCATGAACATCCGAGAAAGGATCAAGCATCCCCGACATCTCCCTCATCTGCTCCTCAGCCCACTTCCTCATCCTCTTCTCCTCTCTAGGACCGTGCTCCATCCTCAGCCTGAGCTCGTCACTCCCAACCCACGTATCCTTACCCCAAACCCGCCAGTGCGCTTTCTTCGCGCTGTTCAAAACAGATTCCAGCCTACTTTTCCCAGCAACCGCCTCCGCCTCAGCCTTCTTCCTCTCATCCTCCCCGTTAATCCTCAGCCCAGTTTCCCTCTGCCAAATAACCCAAATATCCTCATCCCAGGTGTTCTTCTTGGCAAGCTTTTCATATTTGGCAAACCACTTCTCCATCTTGGGGAGCGAGCGGTCGGTGTTGTAGAGGCGCCAGCCCCATGCCGCACAGTCTTTTGCGATGGCGGCGTTGCGCGTTGTGAGGGTTTCTGTGGAGGCGGGGGTTAGGAGGATGTACTGGGCTGTTGTGGTGGGGTGGCGGTTGTAGTGGAGGACGTAGGAGGTGGAGCGGTAGTAGGGCGGGATCTTGACTATGAGAACCATGGTTGCTGTTGTGAAGGGGGTTTGGTGTTGGGTGTCTTGCTTTGGTAGCGGAGTATGGATCGAGGGGAGTTAGATAGGGAGTGAGGTTTAAAGTGCTGCGGTGGGCAACGAGGGATGGAGGGAAATGTTACCCTTCACCAATTGAATGCCCAGATCGTGAGAGCTCTCTCTCGTTGCGCACTCGGAGCATTCACGCACATGTCTGTGACCTCTTCCGTCTTTCCAATACCAGCGGGTACAGATCAACTATACAAGTGAAAGTACACTGCGTTGAAGTCACCAACCCCGAACGTGAACGAACAGAGACTGCATGGAATCTCTAACACGTACTCGCATTTCCCCACCAACTTACACAGCTTCCACTCTTCGGCAATCTCATACATCCAATCAAAATGAATAACCGCCATTCACACAAAATACAATACCTGATCCACCCACCCCGTCGGACAGTCGTCTTCACCACATCCAACCCTCTGATAGCAGACGTCCTAAGGAAGCGTCACAATTGGCTGGGCCGCGTCACAGAAGGTAGCACGCTTCCAGCGTGTATCAGCACTTCATGCATACGAGAGCTTGACGATGGTAACGTTCTGATGGATCATGAGGTTGCAAATGGTGATCTCCTTGCAGCAGATATACGGTCTCTGCTCATACGGAAAGGGTTCGTGGATCCGGATTTACGCTTTGTTGGGCGTATGATACGGTCTGGGCCTAAGAGGGAGGTTGTGCCTCCGAAATGCACGGAAATAGCGGCTGGTGATGAAGATGAGGTTGATATCTGGAGCGATGACGGGTTGGATGAGGCTAAGGGGGAGATAGATGCTCGGGAAGAGAAAGATTATCAGGAGAAAGATGGGTTGGATGAGCCTATCACAGCGGAATCTTGATGTAGAGAAATGTGTTGTATATTTTAGGCCTTCAAATGAAACGAGTGCCGGGAGGAGACATGGATCTGGGTATCGCTGAAACAAAGGAACAGAAGATGATGTAGTTGGCAGGCCTATATAGACCAGCCGGCTTTCTTCTTAGCGGCCTTGGTGGTCATGGTGGGTTCCGAAGGTGGCGGTGGCTTGATATCCTTGAGATCTGGTAACGGGTCGTTATCCCTTATCTCCAGTATAGTCATCTGTGCAGCTAGTGTTGACTGCCCATCTGCAATCGTATCGCTGGGAGCAGACACATCGTCGCCTACTGGGCCACCTTCAAGGGAAACACCGCCGTCTTCTTCATCTTCAACTTCCTCATCATCGCCTGCGTCATCAGCCTCATCGTCGTCGTCCACCTCTTCCCCGTCTGCTCCAGTGGCGACATCTCCAGCGTCGCCATCGATACCATGCTCTTTCATGTATAATTCCAGTTCCTTGGCCATCTTTTTGCTGAAGCCGGAAGCTTGAACTTCGACATCTAACCGCTTGACGAGCTTCTTTGTGGCGTCCTTGAAGAAAGGACCCGGCTCGTCGCTCGTGAAGCCAAAACGGCGATCGAAGAAGCGCTTTATGCAAGCCACATCGCGGTCAAAGTAGTATTCGGCATTGGCATGGTCAATGGAGACCATTTGCGGGAAATCGATGAGGGTTGGCACCAGTGACAAACTGCCGTCTTTTTCTGTTCTCTCTTCAACTAGGATGTTGAACTCGTTGAAATCACCATGGATGAGACCGTGCTGCGCGAGGCGAACGATAATGGCGAGCAGCTCACCGTAGAGCTCCTGTGGGTTACCGACCTTTGAGATTTGGCGCATCGGGAAGGCGTCGATGAGGCTCATGACGACGGTATGTCTGTTCTGACCAATCGGCTCGGGTACAGGGAATCCCTCTGCTCGTAGGGCCTTCATGAATTCGAACTCTTTCAGAGCAGCGAGGCGCGACATGTACATCCACGAACCACCCTGGCGATTCCGCAGGTAGTCGCGGTTCGCCTTGACGGTACGGAAAGAAATGCGACCCAGACGGTGGATTTTGAGCACCAGCTGCCTGCCCGTCTCATCTGCGCAGACTATGATGTCCGACTCTTTGCCTATGCCGATCTGGTTGCCGACCGAGTAGACGGTCGAGGCCTTTTGGTGTGTGTGGAGGGCGAGGTAGTCGAGACCGCCATACGTGAGTCGGTAGCCGTCGTACTTTGCGTTGCGGACTTTGGCGATGAGGCCGATCTTGGCGAGGTTGGAGATGCAACGGTGGACGCCGTCGCCGGAGCGGATGGCGGCGATCTGAGCAATCAGGGGGGTTGGCACGATTTCATGGTTGCGGCTGCCCATCTCTGTCTATCGTCTTCATCAGCGTTAGTCCCCCACTACGTTCGGAAAGCCGGCGGGCGGGCGCCTACCGCAGTGAGAACACGCCAATCATCGGCGGAGAGGTACCGGATATTCTTGACGTTGAGCTTCATGGTAGCTGCCTGGGTGGCCTATCGGCGTCGTGTGGTGGTGATTTTCGGGGTTGTATGCGGCAACAATAATTTTTGGCGGGAGGTTCTGAGCGGCGGGCGGCGCTCATCATCGGCGGACGGGCTTGGCCCTAGCGCGGCGGAAGTGGTACGCGAAGCAAGAGCTGCCTCATCGACATCAACCTATTACCACTCCCCACTCGACTTGCCTCTCGCTCCTCCGACCCATTTGAGCGCCGCATCTACATCTCTCAGCACCCCACATCTCCTTCCACCGTCGCTATCGACGCCGCTTCGTCCCGACACATACACACACTTCGCCGCTTGCCCTAGCTACACATCATCAACATGGCGAAGGACGACGAGAAGAAGCCCACGGCCGCCGACAAGGGCAAGGGCAAGGCGCCCGTGAGCAATGACGCGGACAAGAGCAAGGACGCAAAGCCAGATCTTGAGGACAAGAAGGGCGGTGTTGCGACAACTGGCGGTATGTCTGGTCCCCGGCACAGCGCCGATGGCTATCGTCATGGACTTGCACTGATGACAAACCACAGAGGAGCTCAGCGAGGAAGACCAACAGCTGAAGAGTGACCTTGACATGCTGGCTGAGCGGATACTGGTAAGCTGCTGCGACGATGGCTGGTCCCCGCAACATGCGCTGACCTCATGTGTTTACTAGGGTTCCGACACCAGCCTCTACAAGCCCGCCCTCGAACAGATCAAGGAATTCATCAAGACATCGACGAGCTCCATGACGGCCGTGCCCAAGCCGCTCAAGTTCCTCCGACCACACTACGAGAACCTCGAGAAGGCCTACGCATCATGGCCGGCAGGCGAGAACAAGGTGCGCAGACACGCCCACACTCCATACACGCCACCATGCTAACAAAGATAGCGCTCGCTCGCCGACATGATGTCTGTTCTGGGAATGACGTATTCGGATGAGGACCGCCTAGACTGCCTCAAATACCGCCTCGAGGCCCCCTCCACAGATCTCGGCTCATGGGGCCATGAGTACATGCGCCATCTTGCGCTTGAGATCGGCACAGAATACCAGAACCGCCTGAACGACGAGAAATCCACCGACGACGTCACCGACCTCGCCTCAAACCTCGTCCCCTTCTTCCTCAAGCACAACGCAGAGGCTGATGCCGTTGATATCCTGTCTGAGCTGGAGATGATTGATCAGATTGAGCAGTACATTGACGAGAACACATACTCGAGGGTGGCTCTATACATGGTCAGGTAGGATATTCCCGCACTTTGCCTGCAGCATCGACACTAACACTAGCAGCAACGTGCCCCTACTCACCTACCCAGACAACGACAAGTTCCTCCGTACCACGTACCGAATCTACGCCAAATACAAGCAGTACACACAGGCAATCGTCATCGCGATACGATTACACGAGACCGATCTCATCATTGAAGCTTTCAACGCCACCAAGGACAAGTCGATCCGGAGACAAATGGCCTACTTATGTGGCCGCCAACGGATATGGCTCGACGTCTCAGAGGACGACGATGCCGAGCTCCAGGAGTGCATCAACAACACGCGGCTACCCGACCACTTTAAGGCGCTGGGCAAGGAGCTTAACATTCTCGACCCCAAGACCCCTGACGACATCTACAAGACACATCTGGAGAGCAGCAGGACGGCCGGCCTCACCAATACCGATTCCGCCAGACACAACCTTGCCTCCGCCTTCGTCAACGCTTTTGTCAATGCCGGTTACGCCAATGATAAGCTCATGCTTAACGAGAACACAAAGCAGAGCTGGGTGTGGAAGACCAAGGAGGAGGGCATGCTGTCAACAACCGCCTCTCTGGGTATGCTCATGCTCTGGGACGTAGAAGAGGGTCTCGATAAGGTCGACCCCTTCACACACGTCGAAGACGACATGGTCAAGGCTGGCGCTATGCTTGCTACCGGTATCTTCAATTCGGGTGTGCGCATGGACTCAGACCCTGCCATGGCTCTCTTGGGTGATGAGGACAACATCAATTCCAAGAACAAGAACATCCGCTTGGCTTCTATCATGGGTCTCGGTCTTGCTTACGCCGGGTCTAATAAGGAAGACCTTTTGGACGTTCTGCTGCCGATTGTCAGCGACACCAGCCTCGACATGCAGCTCTCTGCCATGGCGGCGCTGTCGCTTGGTATGATCTTTGTTGGTTCGGCCAACGGAGATGTCACTGATGCCCTGATGAACACGCTCTTGGACGAGGACCGGACGAAGCAGCTCAAGGACAAGTGGACCCGATTCATGGCCCTTGGTCTTGCGCTACTCTTCTTCGGTCAGCAAGAAGAAGTCGATGTCATTCTGGAGACCTTGAAGGCGCTTGATCACCCCATGGCCAAGTCTGCCTCTGTGCTCACCGAGGTATGCGCATGGGCAGGTACCGGTGCTGTCCTGAAGATCCAACAGTTGCTCCACATCTGCAACGAGCACATCGAGGATGAGAACGAGGAGAAGAAGGGCGATGAGCTACTCCAGTCCTACGCTGTTATCGGTCTATCGTTAGTCGCCATGGGCGAGGACGTCGGCCAAGAGATGATCCTCCGCACTCTCGGCCACCTGATGCACTACGGCGAGGCTAACATCCGCAAGGCTGTGCCGCTCGCTCTAGGTCTCATCAGCCCTAGCAACCCTCAAATGAAGGTCTACGACACTCTTTCCCGTTATTCTCACGACAACGACAACGATGTCGCCATCAACGCCATCTTCGCCATGGGCCTTTGCGGTGCTGGTACCAACAACGCCCGTCTTGCACAACTTCTCCGGCAATTGGCTAGCTACTACCACCGTGATCCCAACGCTCTTTTCATGGTTCGCATAGCTCAAGGTCTGCTGCACGCAGGCAAGGGCACGCTGTCTTTCAACCCATTCCACACTGACCGTCAGGTCTTGTCCCGTGTGGCAGCGTCGGGTCTTCTCACCGTACTTGTGTCTCTCATCGACGCCAAGTCATTTGTGGCTGGAGACTCACACTACCTACTCTACTACCTCGCTACCGCCATATCGCCGCGCTTCCTCATTACACTCGATGAGGACCTCAAGCCGCTGACAGTCAACGTCCGTGTTGGTCAAGCAGTAGACATTGTTGGCCAAGCCGGTCGGCCGAAGACCATTACTGGATGGCAAACACAGAGCACGCCGGTGTTGCTGGCGCATGGTGAGCGGGCGGAGCTGGAAGACGAGAAGTATCTCAGCCTGACCAATGTGTTGGAGGGTGTGGTCATCTTGCGAAAGGTATGATATTCCAATATACATGACTTCGAGGGTGCCGTACTAACATTACATGCAGAACCCAGAGTGGGAGGACTGAACGATTGCAGTAAAAAGGTGGAAAGAAAGAAGCGTCGTCAGTGACACCCCGCAGAGCATAGGGAGGGCCTGCACCAAGGATTTTGGCATTCTAATAGCATTACGGTCACTGCCTCAACCCTTGTTCTGATAGGATAAGGAGTCCAAGGGGTACACCGTTGTATATATAGATGTGCAAGAGCAATGAACTGAAATGAAATCATTCATACAAAGTCTCGTTCCAGCCACTCCGGATGAATGTATGCAGTAGTGATGGAGTCGGAACGCACGTACTATCTATCCTCCTACCTTTAACTAGGCACAAAGTTAGACTCAAGATGTTTGACTATCCCCGTTCTACGGCCATCACCGCGTGGCCACGATCATTACTACTACTATTGCCGTTCTCACGCTATTGCATTTCATCCTGTACACTGATCCGAATCTCATGACACGCTCCTATACTTATCTCTCCTACTTCATCGCATAGCCGCGAGTCTAAAAAGAAGATCAAAATCTACAAGCACCGTGTGGATCGAACACACGTCTTCCGCAATCAAGGCAGATGCAGCGATGGGAAATCTTCCACAAAGCAGTACGGTCAAGTACTAGGAAGCCTGTCAAGATCTTGCGCGGACGTCTTACCACTGGACTAGGTGCTCTGTCGCAGCCCTCTTCGATCGATTGGGCGATTAAACAGGGTGTAGCGCAAGGTCAGCCTCGTTACCTTCTTTACTTTGAAGACGTACCAAGACGACCGGGTTGAGAGGCAAGCATTGCATGAACAGCAGAGAAGTAGACACGAACATGAATATGAGCCGGAAGAAGATCTATTATACGACGAACTATCGAAACTACGACAAATCCGACCATAGACCTAGCCACCACTGCTGAAACCTGCCCTTGCCATCGATGAGAAAGAGATACATTGAATAACCCACTAAGATCCTTTTGGTTCGCTGGCTTGCCCAGATGCTAACAGATACTTCTAAAATGTGAAAGAAGCCGCCCGAATATATCGATCGAAAGGAAAACGCGAGACTGGAGTGTCGATGGGAAGGATATGTTCAGGGTGTTGGCGCCAAGAACAAAGTATTAGGGCCCAAAGACATGAAGGTCAGAGCGAGCGGCAGGAAAGAACGACAAGAGTATCGTGCTGTAGCGTGTTGATATAGTGCGGCCTTCGTAAAGTATATGATCGGTGCCAAAAGAAGTCTCCAAGAAGATGTGGCTGGAGGATGTTGAAGAAGCGATCATGAAGAATAGTGCGTGCACGACGAGTAGATCGAAGGTCGACGTGGAAAGGGCGGTACACGCTTAGTCGTTGCGGCTGGGTGAAGTAGACTTGTCATCAGCTTTGACGGGAGTGGCGGGGTTGGTCTTGACGTCAAGGCCGCTCTCAGAAACGCCGTCCTCGCTCTTGATGGGTCCACCCTGCGGCATGTAGTATGAGCGGGCAGGGCCGAGGGTGGATGGCACTGGCGGTGACCATGGCTGGCGCTGGCCGCGCATGAACATCTCGAACTCGTTGGCGTGGCCCGCAGGTATCGGGGAGACGGAGAGGTATCGGTCAGGCGTGCCTAGCGCCCTAGCCTGAGCAACACCGACCTCGTACTCTGCAGCACGGAAGACACGGCCAGCTGCGGTCTGCTGCTTGAGCATCTTCTGCTCGTGAGTATCGGAAAAGCGGATCTGGATGAGATGCTCTTCGCCGCCGGGCTTGGATACAGGGGTGTTGTTGAACTCCTTGATGACCTCGTCGCAGATGTCGCGGGACTCGAAGCTAGAGATGGTCAGCAACGATCAAAATGGCAACACCACGATGACTTACCGAGCGAAGCCGACACCCCGACCAGTACCAGAAGAGTCACGAAGGATCCTGCTCGAGCAGACCTTGTGAGGCGCGAAGATGGAGGCGAGTTCCTGTATGTTGTAAGTGACTTGTCACCAGGGTTGAGGCGAAGTATCATACATGCTCGTTCATGTTCTTTGGAATGTTGGATACGTAAAGATTGGTGTTGCACTCGTCGGCGAACTTCTTGAGCTTTGAGTAGAAGGATTCCTGGGAAGAGTCAGTACAGGCCATCGTGCATCAGAGTGGCTGCAACGTACCCGAGCAAAGCTGACCTCATATCCGAGGTAGTGGAAGCCACGGATGCAGTCTTCAGCGTCTTCGAAGTTGTGGTACTTGATGAAGCCGAAACTGCGAAGCATAGTTAGTAATTGAAACGTTGTGATGGGTAGTGAAGCGCTTACCCCTTGCACAGGTTGGTCTTCAGGTCGATGATGGACTTTGAGCTCTGGATGTCTCCAAAACGCTTGCCCCACAGGTGAAGCATCTCATCTGTGGTCTCGGGAAGCAGACCTCTAATGTAAACGTTGGTCTCGCCAGTCTTGTTCTCCAGGCTACGGTCGAGTGGCTTGTGCGGGGAGCTAGGAGCGGGAATAGCCCGGGGAATGGGGGGCTCCTGGTGCACTAACGCCAGTAGATTGGGAGGCAACGTGGGCATGGTCTGCTGCTTCGGGATGGGCGCCATGACCTGGTAGGGATGGGCCAACTGGGAAGGCGAAGGGGTAGCACTGCTGGAGTAGAGGGCGTTTGGCGAACGGTCCATGATGGCGGTGTTGTTGCCGTAACGATGGTACATACCACCACTGCCGTAAGGCGTGCCTGGGTTGTCGTTCTCGTTGGAGGAGATGGAGTCCCGGCGTGGCGTCATGAGAGATGGCATCTCGGAAGAGGACATGCGAGCAGCCCATGCTGGTGGCATAGCGTTGTTGTCGATGACAGCTTGGCCATATTGGTAAGCTGCCTGCTGGACGTATGCACCGGTGTGGTTGTACATGTTTGGGGAAGCCGCCATGGCAGTCTGTTGCTGGGCACCAGGCATCATCTGGTACATAGATCCAAGGACCTGCTGGTTGGGAACCCAAAGTCCTTGACCGTTGGAGAGAGGGATGTTGCCGTAGTCGGAGGAGCCACCTGACAGAGCGGAGCTCGCAGACTTGGAGGTAGCGGACGAACCATACGAGGCGTGCATGTTGAGAGCTGCCATATTGCCCGTCAGACCTTGCATACCATTATCACCGTGGGGGGACATGGGCAGACCTCGGGGGAGGTATTGGGCGGACCCATGACCTTGGCCGTGCTGGTTGTAATTGTTGAGCATGTGTTGTCCCTTGTAGCCCGCGTTGGGGGCCGCGTAGTTTTGCTGACGACCGTTGGTAGCCATTGCAGTGAGCTTCGAAGTGACACTGATCAGAAGACGAGTGAAAAGATCGGCAAGGTATCCGGGACCGAAGCTTGAAGTCGCGAGCAAGAGTACGCAGGCCGAAAGGTACGAGCCTGAGGAGGGTTGCGGCGAAGGGTCTCAACAACGGACGCGACGACAGACTGAGATGCAGAGAGGAACGTTGCTCTGCTCAGAAGATTAACTTTTGTCATTAGAGGAGGCTGGGGTACGGCCTAGCAAATTTGCTCGGTGATCGATGAGTGTGACGAAAGCAGACCTCGCAAGTGATTGCGGGGGAGGAGCTCATTGGATGCGGCGGTGTCCGGGCGGGGAGTGGAGAGAATAAGATGGGATGATGAAAGGGACTTACTGGGTCGTAGATATCAAACTTTCGCAATGTGCGGGACTGGTAGTGACTCCAAAGCTGCCGAGGCGTCAGTATCGGTGTGCTGCACAAGAATGATGGACGGCGTCGGGACGGATGACTGACCTGGGAAAAGCTACAAAGAATGTGGCCACTGATGCGTATTGGTGAGAAAAGTGAAGAAGAGTGAAGAAGAGAAGGAGAGGAATGGCGGAATGAGGCAAGCTGTTGTACCCGAAGATGGCGTCTGGGCGTAGCAGCTTAGGGAAAGAGCACTCGCGATGGGACGTCGGTGGAAACCCACAAGCGACGTGAGAAAGGAAGCCCCAATCTGACAGAGGGAAGTCGCGAAGAAGAACCATGACGGCGAACAGAGAGGCTCACCTTCCCAATGACTCCGCCTCGAGGAGGAACAGACGCACTACAACACAGCGCCACCCGAACTCTTGCACTTTGGATACCGTCGCTTCTTTATCTGGAAATTGCCTAGTAATATGGTGAAAAAGCTGTTGGAATAGTGATGTCAGATCAGGCTTCCGGGCGAAGCTACGGGGCTTTGGGTTGTCCCCGTCGCCGTGATGGGAAGAGCACTGCACTTATACATCGACTGCAAGCAAGGACGCACATGCTGGATGGATGCACCGAGAGTACGGTATGGCGAACGCTGCAAGCATAACATCCTGCATCAAGTGGTGTACTCGTCGCGCCTCCTCAGGATGCAGCCTTACCTTTCTCGGAGCAGTGTGTGTAGCATACAAATGACGAGGCGTTCGTGTGGAGTCTAGCTGCCACTTGCTGCAGCCAACTTTTCACCGTGACAACGGCCAATGCAGTTATATCGCCCTTGCAGCAAGGCTGAGCAGTATCTTGGAATGACGTTGGGCAACAGACGTCATTGTCTGTTGCTACGTGAACGTCCCAACCGGGGCAGTTGCGATGATTCTGGCGCGCATGCTTCTGTCAAGGGGACTCGACCTGTCGTTTCCTCACCTCCACACTTCAACTGGGCACACGCAACGACCCAACTCGAGACATGCGCAGGTCTTGATTGAATACTGTCTGGTCTGCTTTGCGATTAGTAGGGCTACACAGACAGGGGGATACTCTTACAGCGCTTTGCAGCCAGACTTCCGCCATGCCATAATAGACCTTTCGTAACCTGACGGAGCGGCGCGCTGTTGCACACCTGTAACCTGCGCGACGAGCCGGCGCAGTGCAGCCATTGCCGGTTGTAACTCTGTAGATCACGGTTTTGAGATGGATGCGCGATGCTCGAATACCGTTGGGAGTGCGCCTTCATGCGAGACGTCTTTGGTATCTCAACCGGGGGGACTGCACCTTCTTTGGCGAGATCACCAGGGTAAACGATATTTGACCATCTGCAGCGGTAATGCAGACGCAAGGGGCAAGTCCGAAGCCTGTGGCCTGACCCACCTTTCCTAGTAATATGAGCAACGTCACTCTCATACAAGCAAAAGCGCGTCGGGAGCAAATCGTGTGCAAGGCGTCCCTCTGAAGATACTCAAATTCAAAAGTGAGGTACACATAGAAACTGAGCCAGCCGGTGATTCCAAGTCTAGTGAGAGAGACAATTCCAGCCAGCATCATGTTTGGACTCCACTCCTCAGGTGCTAGGCACAGGACCAAATGGCGTGTGGGTGATACGAACTTCACGAATGGAGGTTTGCCCGCTTCCTCGCGTGGTGCGTAGGCGCAAGCGCACTGATTACCGTGTCGCATTTGTTGCGAAGCAGCTATCCGATCGGTTGTCCGGCTCTTGAAGCGGCTGTTGTTGGTCTCGTGGCAGTGCCGACACGGTGAGAGAACATCCGCCAGTGCCTAGAATTACCAGGTGGATGATGCGTCCAGGGTCCATGTTCGGTGGCGCCCTGCTATGCGATGGCTGGCCGATCCCGCTCAGCATGCCTGCCTGTAAGGTCATTTCAGGAGTCGTGCATGCCGTACGCCGGGCAAATATGCACCTCTCTCCCCCCAGGGCTGCACCTCTCACCAAATTCTGTCATTCTGTACTGAGCAGCCTGAGAGATGCTTCGTTGCGATTCTT